TCAGTCCGGTCCTAGGGGTTTTATTTTGGTCCAGATCGGATTTTATTTTCACAGGCTGCTTGTTGGTTTGTGTTTCTTTTATATATTTAAAAAAAAACATGCAGGTGACAATTCAGGTTTTGAATCAGCTTATACAAAAAATCCGGGAAGACCTCCCAAACCTGGAGTCGACCGAGGAAACAGAACAGATCAACAAACATTTCCAAAACACACTGGAGCACTTGCGCCTGAGGAGAGAGTCGCCGGAATCGGAGGGGCCGATTTACGAAGGCCTGGTGATTTAGATGGAAGTTTCCACGCGCACACTCATCCCACGTCGATCATCTATTCCACTTACCACCAAGTTTGTCAAGTTTTTTTTTTAAAAAAATTATTATTATTATTTCGCTCTAGCCCATAGATTCGTGCCTTTGGGAAGTGCCAAGGTAGATTTATCTATTCACTGTCCTTTCTGTATGAATGTGCAATGTGTTGATTGCTGAATTTCTGAACCCTTGCGTTAATTATATGTACCTAATCATCTATCAGTTTTGACCAGCATCTCTGCAGATACCATCGGAACATTAGCATGCTGGAAGCTTTTTTTAAACATGATACGCAACTGTATTCCCGTTTTCCTTCTGCTCCTGATTTCTGATTTCTTTCTGTGGCTGTTATATACATTTCCGTTCCCTTCCCCTCAGCAATTCTTCAAATGTCTTAACCCAGCTTCCAATCTGCAACTGTTAATAATTGTGTGTGTTTTTGGTTTATTTTTACAGAAAGTGTTCAGTTTGGGCATTGGTTTCCTTAAAAAATAAAAAAAAATAAAATAAAAGCCACTCAAGGGGACTTCTGATTTCCATCAACTCCCATAACTAGAATATATTAATGCATGTTTTTTTTGGAGTTGAAAAGCACCATGCTCAAAAGAAAAATAAATAAAAAATAAACTGAAACTCTAAAACTATATTTTGCATATGGAGGAGCTGTGACACTCCGTTAAAGGGCCAGTGCGGCGCAGGGCGTATTTATCGAGATAATTTTGTTTCCACATAGTATTGAGGGAGGAGAAGAAGAAAAAGGAAAAGTAATAGATCGTGGTCTATATAGTTTATGTATAACCTTCATTACTGTAAAGTTAGGGAGAAGGTGTTAATACCGTTCTGTTCCATACCATGAATTTGCACCAGTGAAACCAATAAAGTTGCTATTAATGAGTTTGGTCCCAAATGTCTGTCTCTCTTTTATTGTTGTGGGCTTCTTTCCATTGCAAGAGAGGAACCTCTGTCTGTCTGAATGGCAGAGATGGGGTTTCTTTATTTGTTGGGCTACAAATCCCTTAATCCTCCATTCTGGGAGTCTATTGATTATTTATTTGTCTTATTTATAGGCCGCCTTTCTCCCAATAAGGGGAACTCAAGGTGGCTTGCGGTATTAAAAATAGTGGTGCCTCGCTTAACGAGCACACCGCGGCTTGCGGTATTAAATATATATATATATTGGCTCCCTCCAGCAGCCGCTGACCCAGGTAGTGTAACCAAGCGGCGGAGTTTAAAGCTGGTTTGTACACCATCGGTTGACCCCTCCCTTTGGCACGATGGTTGGGACACTAGTTTGCAATGGAAAAGGGGGTTACCTTGGCTGCCATTTTGGAGGAACAGCTTTAGAATGGAAGGGGTGGAAGAAAGAACTCCCAAGGATGCCCTGTGCGCGCAGAGTTTGGAGGGCGGAGGTCATGGCTGGAAGGGAGAGTCCTTGTAAGATGGGAGAGGTCAGCATTTATGTATGGAAAAGGCAGAGATTTGATGGAACATAGCCATCGAACATCTCTCTGGCTGTTTCTCCACTTTGTGGCACAGCGTGGCAGAATACCGATCTCTGGCATGAGTTGTATTAGACTCCGCAGTTCTCAACCTTGACTCCCCAGATGTTCTTGGACGCTATGCGAGGCACCACTGTATATATATATTGGTTCCCTCTAGCAGCCGCTGACCCAGGTAGTGTAACCAAGTGGTGGAGTTTAAAGTTGGTTTGTACACCATCGGTTGACCCCTCCCTTTGGCACGATGGTTGGGACACCCGTTTGCAATGGAAAAGGGGGTTACCTTGGGCGCCATTTTGGAGGAATAGCTTTAGAATGGAAGGGGCGGAAGAAAGAACTCGCAAGGATGCCCTGTGCGCGCAGAGTTTGGAGGGCGGAGGTCATGGCTGGAAGGGAGAGTCCTTGTAAGATGGGAGAAGTCAGCATTTATGTATGGAAAAGGCGGAGATTTGATGGAACATAGCAATCGGACATCTCTCTGGCTGTTTCTCCACTTTATGGCACAGCGTGGCAGAATACCGATCTCTGGCATGAGTTGTATTAGACTCCGCAGTTCTCAACCTTGACTCCCCAGATGTTCTTGGACTACAACTCCCAGAAGCCTTCACCAGACTTTGTGCTGGCCAGGATTTCTGGGAGTTGTAGTCCAAGAACATCCGGGGGACCCCAGTTTGAGAACGACTGTTCTAGAGGTAAGGGTCCCTTGTGAAGTTTCTTGCAGGGAAACCATGCTGGAATGCGGCGCCATGTCTATAGTCCAGCTAATAATTCCATCTGCCTGGAGTCAAACATTAGGTTTTCTGCACATTGAAATGTTTAATAATTGGTTAAGGAATCTTAAAAGGTTGCCGCCTTTACACAGCTGGAAAAGAGAGAGCCCTTTTGATAGCGGCAAGATTGAAAGGTCCGGCTGACATCCTGCTCAACGCAAGCAGAGTGTTAATGTACAGCCGGAGCAGCTTCCCGGTTCATCCTGGGTGTCTCCCCGTGCTGCAAAAAAGCCTCACACATATACAACAAACACTGTTATGTGCTGTATGGGGGCAATGTAGAGACTTAATTACCATACCTTTAAAAACCCGATCATGGATTAGAAAAGCATGCCTCTCAAAATACGAGACTTTGCAGCATCAGAAAAAGGGGCATTTAGCAGAGGATCTTGAGGCACAAACCAGGTGTGAGTAACGTAGTACGATTTTTCACGTACTCCGGAATAAACAAAGCTGTGAAAAATATTCTATGTGACGCAGTAAAATGGGTTGGTTGCTAGAATACAGGCTATTGATACCAACTCCCAAGTAAAGAGATTTGATCCGATCAACTTACGTTCACATATATGCTTAGCCTAAATAGTTCCTCTTTCTCTCTCTCTGTTTTCTTTTCCCTTTTACAGTATTTAGCATTTTTATTTAAAAAGCCCAATTATTTTATTTTTTTCTATTTTAAAGAAGAGAGAACTTTGATTTTGTTCTCTTTATAAAAATGACTCATAGATGGAAGGACTCGAAAGGAAAACCAATGGCTGACAAAACAGGAGGGCCGCTTGAGAGAAGGGTATTTTTCTTCTAAGAACTGTGTGTACTTCTAAGCAGTCAGCTACATATGCGCAGCCTCCGATTACTCATCTGATTAGGTACTGCTTTGTTATTTCTCTTCCATCTCAGGACTGTAACAATGGCTACTGATGTCCGTGCTACTTGGGCAAGAATTTTTCTGCTAAAGAGACATAATGGTTTTTAATTCTGTCAAGCCTTCAAGTCTTGGTGCATTTGAACAGATAATGCAATTTTATTCCAGGTTATTAAGTCTCTCTAGTTGCATACTCTGGTTAAAAGCAGCTCTCTGTGACCTGAGGAATCCTCTTTTCTCAGTAACGGATGCATCAGAATTTTGTCTGATGTGCTTCTTAATTGAATAATTCAGCAGTCTTATTTTCTGAATGCATAAAGAGTTCGGAACTGAACTCATATGTACAATAGGATTCAAAAATGCTTTAGATAGTGCATTATGTGAATTTGCAGTATGGTAGGACACCCCTATCCACAGAATTGACATCCACAGATTCATTTATCCACTGCCCGAAAATATTAAAACAAACCCAGAAATGTGTATTTATACATATCTCCATGGTGTATTTCCCAGAAATGGCAATAAGAGAAATGGCCAGAGACCATGCTATGTATAGCCTTTGCAACTGACATGTTTTTTGGCATTTGTGTGTGGGCGGGGAAGGGTTAGATCTGATCCCCCACAGAGATTGTGGTCCTACCGTATTGTTTTTAAGCTAAAAAATGTGTGCATTAAACAAAGTTGTTTACAGAAATGTGGATTTGAGGAGGTGGTTTCAAAATTTCACATGCATATGAATATGGGTACATGAAAATAAATTTATATATATATGATCTTTCATGCTTTAAAAATTGCAAACAGATGCAGAAATTGGAGGTATGATTCAATGTATATAGGTAAGTGTCATGGACTGGACATAATCTATTTCCCCTATATAGGTAAACTGCCCAGAGTGGCCTTGGTAGCCAGATGGGCCGTATAGAAGTCAAATAAATAAAATAAATAAGTACTCATCACTGATTCTGGTGTTTGAATTTGAGCCCAGGACCTTCTATGTAGTTTTGTTGGTTATCCTTGTTTGAGAGATGGAGCGAGTGGATCTACAATGCAGAAGATCAAGTGTTGATGTGAAGGGCGAGGTGTGGAACGCAGCTGATCACTGTGCAACAGGGGGAAAGTTACTTCCAGCCTTTATTCTGAATCTAGCCCTCCTGGGGACCAGAGGTGGTCCTCTGGATCTGGTCCTCAGTTCAAAGGCCACTTCAGCTACAAACTCAAGGGGGGACCTTGAGGAAGCTCCCATTCATGTCAGCCCAGCCGTTACAGAACAAGGCCTGCTTGGGAAGCAATGGAAAGGGTTATAGTTTTAATTTTTGTTGAATTATAAGTCACCTTGCTTACATGTTTATGTGTTTTACTGCTGTACACTGGTTTTAGAAATTTTAAACCCAACAAACAAATAATCTAGAGCGTTATTAGGCCCTTCTAGAGCATGGGGTTCCGAGTGCCAGAAGGCCAGCCGGCACAGCCCGTGGCAAGGAGTCGGGGCGTTGCTGTCTTGAACACAATACAAGTCCTAATGTCCCCCAAACTCTGCTGTATCTAAAGCACTGCATAAAGCTGAAAAATTGCCGTCTTTCTACTTGCTTTGGAAAATGGTGGTATGTTTCCACCATCAAATAGGTGGAAACAAGACATTGTCATGACATTGTTCCGTCGCCTGTAGCACAGATGGGGAAAATGTGGTTCTCCAGGACTCTGTTGGACAGTGTTTCCCTGTTGTCCTCTTTGTGGTTGAGGGGCGTCCCAATTAAAACAACAGCTGGAAAGCTGTGAAAAACCAGTGAAGCCTTTTTCTAGTGTGCCCATGGAATTTCTGCTTCAATCAAGTTTTTAATCGGGTTGGTCATTTGGCATTTCTAATTAGGGTGAGCCCATGAACAAGTTCTGTGTGTGCATGAGAAACCTCTACCGTGCGGTGCCAGTTGGTGTTTTCCTCCCATAAAATGCAGTAATTTAAAACATCAACACACAACCCTTGTGAGCAATCATCAAAGGGAACTTGCTTTTTTTAAATACTTAGCAATTCCTTAAACACAGACACAACTGAATCCAACAGACAACACTGTTCAGCAGAACAAAGAGAATTTTATGCACTGCTAATTCCTAATTATGAAGCTGCCAGTTCAAACACCCAAGAGATGCTTGGAGGTTGAGACTTCTTAAATATTTCTTAAATGCCCTGTTTCCAGGAAAATAAGACCTAACCTGAAAATAAGCCCTAGTATGATTTTTCAGGATGCTCGTAATATAAGCCCTACCCCCTAAATAAGCCCCAGTTAAGTGAAACCACACCCTCCACCATTGTACAGCAGCCAGAAGAAGATGACATGACTCTATTTGAATAAACGTAGATTGTTGCACATGAAAAAAGTAGAACATCCCCTGAAAATAAGCCCTACTGCTTTTTTGGAGCAAAAAATTAATATAAGACCCTGTCTTATTTTCCGGGAAGCACGGTATATCCCTTGTTTTGATAATGGATCCCCCAGCACTCACTGCATAAATTACTGATGCAAGGTCTCAAAAAGAGTCCTAAAGCTTTCAGAACTCTTATGTTGCCAGAAACAAATGTTCCCATGATCTTGAATAGTTTGGACAGAAAGTTGGAAGGCTGTCCTCCTTACCTGGATATGGTATGGGTTCAAGATGAATGGACAGTCAACGCGTTGTGTTTTTTTCCTCGCCCAAGTGTGCAATCAATCCTTTGCTAAAGACAACATCTTCTCTCACAACAAACATTCTCACACACAGATATTAGGGTGGATTTTAGCCTTCCCTGGGAACAGGAGTTTAAAGAAGGCTTTTCTGAAGCTCACATGACAAAGGGGGTATAAGACGGGGTTAATGGCCGAATTAAGCCACAGGAGCCAGAACGAGGCTTCGTAGAGAGCGTGGTGGATGCATCGTCCGTGGCAGGCCGCTCGAATGATCATGAGGAGGGTGTAAGGAGCCCAACAGAAAGCGAAGACGCAGACAATGATGGCTAAAGATTTGGCTACCTTTTTATCCCGGGAAAGCCGACACCGACTAGCCATGGTGCTGGCCACCTCCGTCTTACGGGTGGGGTTGGAAATGCTCTCTAGGGCTTTGTAGAAACCATCCCAGGGAGACTTGGTCTGGACGTCTACTTGCAAAGGTGGAAGATCTTGATGGACGTTGAATTCTACCATCTGGCTTGGCCGGTGATGGACGTCGAGCCTCGGGCTGGCCGGCTTCTGAGGGGAGAAGCCGTTGACTCTCTCCTGATTTCTTCCCCTGCCGACTTTCATGAAGAAGATGGGGTGCTCCTGCTTCTTCCTTCGGGGGCACATTCCACAGTCCCTCCGGCCCAGGGAGAGGTTCTGGGCGCCGAGCGGCGTCCGCTTCCGGATGTTGAAATAAATGCTCAAGTTGAAATAGGTGACGCTGATGAAGGGTGTGAAAAACTCTACGGTGGAGGCGATCATGAGGAAATACCAGTTGTAGAAGAATTCTGCATGGCACTCTCGCTTGGGGACGATGGTTTTCTGAGCAATGTACTCCCAGCTGATGATGGCTGGGCCGTAGAGGAGGAAAGCGGAGATCCACACCAGAACCATTTTGACCACAGCATTTCTTGTCATCCCTTTCTGGGCTCGGTAGCTCACCTGGGAGGAAAAAATATGGAAAGAAACTTGAAAAGATGATTATGCTTGTAGACTTCCTTTCAAACAGAGGAGATGTTCATAACAGGGGTGTCCAAAGGCCCCCCCATGCTCATCTTGGCCGGGCTGACCCCCTTCCTCTGGTCCTTCTGTCCTTATCTTTGCCTGAAAAGGAAGGTCTTTGCTCTGATGAAGGAAAGACAAGGCGAAGTGGCCCAACACAGCTTCCCAGGGCAGACAATTAAATAGGGTTTTAAAGATTTTTTTTAAAAAAATTTAACATTGTTTCTAATCCTGGCTTTAATCTCAACCAATAATCTTGGATAATAATCTTAAAACTGCATTGCTGGAAGGGACCCTCTGAATCATTGAATCTAGCCCCTCTCAAGGAGGCCCCGTGGGGGAATCAAACTCCCAACCTCTGGCTTTCCAGTTACAGACCTAAACCACTAAGCTATTAATTGTTTTTTTAAAATATAGTTTTCATATAATATTTTAAACCTGTGAACTTTGTATGGTTTAGAGAGAGAGAGAGAGAGAGAGAGAGAGAGAGAGGGACGGACGGACGGACGGACGGACGGAAGGAAGGAAGGAAGGACTAAACAGCCATTGAGTCAAAAGCAGGGTTTCTTTACCGCTTTCGTAACAGAGATGAATCGGTCGAAGCTGATCAAGACAATGTTGAAAACGGAGGCGCTGCACACCAGATAATCTGCCACCAACCAAACCTTGCACAATCCTCTTCCCAGCTTCCACTCGCCAGTCAGAACGTAAGGGATGTAGAGGGGGATGCAAAACCCACCTGCGGACCCGGAGAAGAAAGCATGACGCTGGAGGTGGGAGAGAGAGAGACAGTAAAAGCAGAAGCAGCCTGTGATAGCATGTATAGACCACCCCATCCTGCTTAAATCACTGCCTGGATGGTTTGCAATTTAGTTATGCAAACCATAACTAAAGGCGAGCTGGGCATGCAATTTAGTCTCAGAAGGGCGGAAGGCTGAGGCAACCTCAAGCTGGCTTCCTGAGCCTGGGGTTCAAACTTGGGTCTTGAGCAGAGTTTTAACTGCAGCCTTGCATGCCGTTTTACCACTGCGTGATGAGGCTCTAAAGTAATAGCCTGGGATCTATAAAAACGATATTTTCTCACTGTGAATATACTGCTGGGCATTTGAAAAGGCGCAGTCATCTACCCGCCATGGGACGCTATGCGCTAATTTACCTTTCATGCTGATAATTGATATGTGCAGCGATGATATCTGCTGCACGGGGATGGTGGTCTTAAGCCTATACTCTTTACTGTTTTCAGATCTGGAAGAAAAGGGAGAATTTTGGGCATGTGCCGCTTCATCCAGGGGAAAGAGGAAAGCAATGGCTATTAAGGAAGCCTATTGAAGACTGAGCCTGTTTCTTTCTTTCTTTCTTTTTTTACCATCATCCCCTCCAGCTGCTATCTCAGACTTTTTTTTAAAGGAGCCTCATGACACAGCAGTTAAACTGCAGTACTGCACTTAAGACTCTGCTCTTGGCCTGCATTCGATTGTGACAGACCTAGGTAGCCAGCTCAAGGTTGACTTGGTCTTCCATCTTTCTGAGGCTGGTAAACGGAGTACCCAATTCGCTGGGTGGGGTGGGGTGCGCCATTTGTACCTTGCATAATTAAACTGTAAACCATCCAGAGAATGCTTTGAATGCTATGGAGCAGTATATAAGCATCTAGGTGAGCATACACAGGTAGCATTGTTATCCTTTACATGTGTAAAGACCTGTGGGTGAATGGGGATGCTGGTTCCCCCCCCCCACTCTGTTCACTCCACATTTGGCACAAAATAAAGGCATCGCGACTCGTGACTGCCTGGCTGAGATGAAAAGAGCGCTTCCTATAGCCACTCTTACACCTCAACATGCAGGCAGGCAGGCAGGCAGGCCGTCTCTCTGTGTGGGAGTCAGCCTTTCGTCTGTTCCCTCAGAATCATCATCTGCTATACACAGATGGTGAAGTCAAGTGTATCCTGCCCAGGGGGGTTCCAAAATTTCACGTAACCCCTCTGGGCAGCAGCTCGGATCTTTCATTTGCATTAGAGGGAAAGGGAGAGACCGGTTAAATGAGGCCTGAGGTGAAAATAATTCCCTTTTGAGGGACCATCGGCAGTTCCCATTTGCCTCGGCTAACAAGGCGGCCTTACTGGGACTTCTGAGAGCTGTTCTCCAAAAGAAGTTGGAAAACCTTGGCTTACCTGCATGAAGTCCCTTCGCTGAGTCCTGTTAGGCACCCGATAAAATAATTAAAAAATACCTTTCCATCCCTCACACAGAAAGAAACAAGCAAAGGCAAAGTCATTTCTGTTGCGGTAGCTGCAAGTTGTGAACTTGCCCATAGATCTTAACCTACCTTCTCTTGTGGGTCATTTTTATGGCATCGCGACAGATAAGGTCTTATTCGTATTTCCCAAACTTCTGTGAAGTAATCCCCTTTCCCCACGTCCCCAGATTAATAGGTGGGGGGGGGAGGCTGCTACAGAAAAAGACGAAGACGAGTGGATCTCCTGCCTCTAAATATTTTAAAATGCAATCATGGAGAGTTAGACTTGGGACTGCAGGTGGATCTCTTGTGATCTGGAGTAGATCACCAAGGATTTGCTGTTTATCAAGAAGTCTGGGTGGCTTGGGGCCAGTCACCCTGTCTCGGCAGGAGACCTGCTTCGCAGGGTTGCTATGAAGATCCAGCCGAAGGGGAGAAGCATGGAGCTTGTTTAAAAATCTAACCAGTAGCAAATAGGACTTTGTGTACTTCTGCATAGAAATTGTAACAAATTGTTGGACACAACTCCAAAAAAATTTGGAATGATAATACAATAAATACTTGTGAATCCTCCATAACATACTTGTGAGTGGCTGAATGATATAAATATGGTTCTTGTTACAAGTTAAGTTGCTCCTGACTTATGGCAACCTTCATAGGGGTTTTGAGGCAGGAGTGCCTTCTTCCTAGTGTGGTTTTCCATTGATTCTCTCCCACGGCTAAGCAGGGATTTGAATCCAGGTCTCCCAAGTTGCACACACACACACCCCACTCTATCCACTCCACCAAACTTGCCTCCCATCCCCAAGAAATCTCCCGGGGGGGGGGAGGAGAACCAGCCGGTTCCCTCCGGGCCAGCCTCACTCACCCACGAGGAGGTCGGCGATGGCCAAGTTCAGGAAGAAGAAATTCCCGTGACTCCGGAGACTTTTGTCCGCCACGAACGCCAGGATGACCAGCGCGTTGCCGGAGACGGTGACCAAGACCAGGAGCGCCATCAGCACCGCCAGCAGGACCGAGACGGGCGCCGAGAACTCTCCGTGGTGCTGAAAGCGCCCGGACTCGCCCGCCGCCGCCGCCGCCGCGCACGCCTGGCCGGAGCAGTTGAGCCCCAGCAGCTCCTCCGGCATGCTCGCCGCCGGGCGGAGAGGGACCCGGAGCCCGTCCCGAGGGTGGGGTGGGGGTTTTGAGACCTGCCAGGAAGGCTCCGTCCTTTGGCCGAGCAGAGGAGGAAGCCGCTCGCCTGCCTTCTTCTGGGCGAGGGTGGACCTCCCGGCTTGGGTGAGTCAACCGTCCCTGAACCCTCCTTCTCTCCCTCCTTCTTTCTCTCTCCCGTCAATTTTAAGCGCACGGGGAGGGGGGGGAGAGGAAGGACAGGCAAGGGAAGGAGTCAAAAGAGAGAAGACAAGGGAGTGTCCAGAGGGAGAGGCAACCTTGAGCCAGATGGGTTTGGTCGGGCTGGCTTGGCAGTCCAGATAAAGAGACTCCGGCTGCAGCCCAGGTTTGTCCGCCTGGGTGGCGCAGGTTGCGCCCTTTGCTCCCGAGGCGCTGCCTGTCACTCTCGACTCCGTCCCCCCCCCCGTCCCCCGGGCTGTGTCTCCTGCCCCCCCAGCCAGCAAAAGCAGTGGTTCCAGACTCTACCTAAGGAGATGGCATTGCTATGTTTTAAGTTTGCTTGCAGGGTCTGTTGTAGAAGCAGCTGCAAAAAAGCGTAGGGTCGCAGGATGCTGGTTTAGAACAGATTAAACTCCTGTGCTTAATGCCCCTCTCGAAAGCCATAAGAACCAACCAACCAACTCCTTCTCACACACATAAACAAAAGCAATGCAGTGCACTTAGTGTCTCAAGCGTTGGCCTACGGCATTCTCTTCAGCGGATCGAAATTCCATTTCCAAGTCCACATTTCAAGTTTCGTGAAATTCACTCTGGGTGAGCCTGGATCCCTCTCATGGGTCACTCTCAGTCCTTCCGCCCTGCCTCGCAGGACTGTTGTGAGGATGCTATGGAAAGCAGGAGAAGGAGCTCCATTATTTTCAACACCTAGGAACCCAGGAATCCATCAGCCAAGGAATGCTTAAGACCAGCTCACCGCTTAAAAAAAAAACAAAAACACCTGACTTTTAACAAAGCAATAAAGATCAAAATGTGCCTGTCTTGGAATCTACCTGTTCGTTTTTTCTCTTTAAAAAGAGTAGACACCTGTAACTTTTTTTTTTGGTCATCTCTTCTTCAGATGTGGCACAGTGAGAAAGGTGCATTGTGAGAAAGCTGAGAATCTACTACACACACACACACTTCCTCCACTCCATGTCTGTCTGACTGCCGGTGGTGTGATGCAAATGAAAATAATACCCCATGCCTCTCATCGAATGGAATCTACCAAATTTTATGTCCCCACGAGTCTGTTGATCAAGGAACTGTTTTGCTCTTGTTGAGTAGAGACTAACCTCGGTGTGCTTCTAAAAACGGTGGCTTGTTAGAAGTCGATCTTTTGGGGCATAAGAACTGTTATGCTAAAGAGTATTTGGTCTCTGCGTGTGGCCGGTTGGACGTTTTAGAGGATGTGACATGAAAGAAAGCAAAGGAGAAAGAAATTGTTCCGATATTTTAGGAGGAGCAAAAGCTCAATGCGGAATGGGATTTACATTTTGGCCCTCCTGCAGGGCACTAAGAAGATGGATCTATAAAAGCAGTTGGAAAGAGCTGCCTTTTGAGGCCCTCTGAAAGGATGTATCTATCAGCCAGAGAAATTAAAAGCTTCTATTAGCGAAGTCGAATTTTAATTAAGTGGCCAGAGAAAAATCTATCACACTCATTTCCTATCTGCTTCCTTGGCTTTGCTTGGTGAATTAATATTTCTCTCCTGCCTGGATAGTTACTGATTCTCAATTGCTCTGGGATCATTTCCGGGCAAACAAGACCATCTCCGTTGGTTTCCTTTTTTTTTTTTTTAATATTCTCAAGGCTTGATATACAATTTGAAAGAATATGAGGGCAAGTGTGCTGGGAAGGATGTTGAGTGGCTAGGATATCAACTCCCCTTTGAAAATTTGGGAGGGGAAACATAAAAGCCCTGCTCTAGAGTAAATGAACAGCCCCTCCCTTCCCAAGCTTGGTCCCTTCAAGAGGGGTTAATCTGCTGTGCTCATCCCCTCCATTCTGCTTGGTTGCAAGAGTTCCCGACACAGCCCTACAATCTGTCTCATTCCGGACAACTGGACCATTAGCCGTCCAAGCTGGAGAAGATCTTGGAATATTTTAGGAAGCATTCTTTTCTAGCTTTACCTGGGGATCCGTGGTCTTCTCAGCTGGTGTCTTCCGTCTAAAGTCAAAGTAGACCTTGTTTAGCTTCCAAAATCAGAAGAGATTGAGTGTGCTCAGGGTGATGTCCAATTTAGCCCAATCTTTGAAACTCGCCGGTGTACTCAGGGTGATAAATCCAATTTAGCCCAATCTTTGAAACTCGCCTTCTTCACAAAGATACTCAGTGGCTCGAGGTGGAGTGTAATCCCTCCATCTATGCAAGAACAGTTCGGACCCCCTTTCCAAAGATCTTGTGGGACTTCTCTGCATAACATCCAACTTGCCTGTAGAACTCACTCCCACCAGACTGGATTGTAGATGCTTGCATTTTCTTCAGTGGGAGAATGAGGCGATTTTCTTGGGGAAGAGGAAATCTACTATTAGGAAGGTGAGCTGCTGAATGGAATTTCCCTGTCCTGTGTTTGTCTGTCAGTCTCTTACATCTGGCTGATGAAGAAAATACATAGATGGGTGCCATAGACTTTATGCCAGTGGGGAGTGATAAATAATGTGGTCCAGTAGACCTAGAGGATATTGGCCTGGGGAAGACTTTTATGCCTGACAAGCACTTTGATGGTTCCCCAGTTCCATATAAAAGTCAAGTCTTGTTGTCGCTAAAAATTCTAATGTTTTCAACAACATTGATCTGGCTGTCTCTCTACAATGTGTCTCTGTATTTCTATGTCTGTTGGTCAACTATTTACCTACCAATTATCATCTATGAGGAAAGACTAAAGGAATAATTCATGTTTTCTCTGGAGAAAAGAAGACTGAGGGGTGATAGGAGAGTGAGTTTCAAATACTTGAAAGGCTGTCATTCAGAGGAACAGGATCTGTTCTTGGTCATCCCAGAGTGCAGGCCACACAACAATGGGCTCAATTTACAGGAAGCCAGATTTCAGCTGAATAGCGGGGAAAACTTCTCGACTGTTAGAGCAGTATGACAACAGAAACCAGTAACCTCAGGTGGTGGTGAGCGCTCCAATGCTGGAGGCATTCAAGAGAAAATTGGACAGTCATCTGTTAGATCTGGTTTGATTTGGGTTCCTGCCTTGAGCAGGGGGTTGGCCTCAGAGACACCTTCCAACTCCATGATTCTATCATCCTACGATTCTATATCTATCTATCTGTTTATGTAACTGTCTCATTAACTTTTACTTACTGTGGCCTATCAATAATCTGTCTTTATCGCTATCCATGGTCCCCATCTCTGTCTGTCTCTGTCTCTGTCTGTCTGTCCATCTACCTGTCTGTCTCTGTCTGTCCATCTACTGTACCTGTTTATAGATCCTCTTCTCTGTCTCACTCTGTCTGTAACCTGTTATATTTTCCCAGCCCCCATCTGGCTCTCATCTGTTCATGTGTTCATCAGTGTTGACATCACTACTCCTGCACACACACACTCTCAGGAAAATGTACCGAGACCTCCTCCTCCTCCATAGAACCTATCATTACTGGCCTTTATATAACCTGCCCACTCAAAGCTGAATGGGAGAAGGTTCTGTCTCAGCCAGCTGAGAGGCTAAACAAGGGCAGAAAAGCCGACCCTCAATAGCTGGTTAGCAAGGGGCTCTTTTTCAGGGGGGAACGGGATGGGCATGCACCTCATGGACATCCGCTCCAGCCCTTTTGGAAGCTGAGGGGTGTGTGTGTGTCCCTTTCCAAGGGAAGATGGGCTCAGAAGAGTCACGTCAGACAATGCCAGGCTGTCCTTGGGGTGGGTGGGTGGCACCGGTTGCCAAAGAGATGCTCTGGGCTTGGCTGGCAAGCAGGCTGGGGGATATTGTTCCATCTGCAAGCACGTTGACCCTTTGTCTTTTCTCTTCATGACGAGATGAACTCTTGCAACGGAAAACAAGAGCCGCGTGGGGTGGGGGAGAGAGAAAACAGGGCGAGCCGTAGAACAGACATTACACCGAATAAATAAATGCCTCCTCTCCAGTCTTGCCTCTCTTTAAAAACAGGTTGCACAGTTTGTTTACATTTTCAGACTGTGTTTTTTTGCTATTTATGCTGTATTTAGTTGTGAGTAGTTTAACTCTTCGTGTGTGTTTGTGTGTGTGTGTTTGTGTGTGTGTGTGCATCACTAGGATATAATTACCATAAATATATATATTCAACACCTTGAGATGATGAACACATTACAAGAAGGCATGAAGTCTGAATGGAGGAAGAAGACTGTTATATTTTATTGTGAATTTTCATGAGTCGAATCTAATTAGTCTTTAAGGTGCCACAATGAGTTTTCATTTTCATTTTGCGTGATATGAAAACCTAGTGACCTTTAGAGAGCTCTTCAGCACGTCGTAACAAACCGGTTGATGAGGATTTTCAAGCATCAGAGAGACAGAACGGCAAATCAATTGTTCCCCAATACAACAGAGCACTAAGTGCAGGTGAGTTGGCACCGGAGTTTGTCGAGAATGTCCACTGTCCCTCTGAAACCGGATATTACTTTATATAGTATAAAGTCAACCCCAGCAAGATTTGGAAACCACGAAGACATTTGGACACACCGCTTCCATCCTTCTTCCTAATCCACTTTGTTCCTATTACTGTACTTTTCAGATGAGGACTAAGCCCTTTACAATGGAGCGCCACTGATCATGTTGAGCTAAATTGTGTGGCAAAATGTTTAACTTGAAGCTAGTGAGTTTAATTTCTGGACTTCTTAATTCCTTGGGGTCAGGAAGATGGTTTGTGTCTGTAGATCTGAAATGTATATCAGATGCCATTAATTTGATTCCCTTAATGGTTCAGATGCCATTAATTTTAAGCGGTTGGCTTCTGCACAAGGTTCTCGTGGAGGACCCTCACTCTGTGGCTT